TTGACCTGAGTGGCCTGTGTTGCCACCCAAACCCATGGTGTCATCCGGGCCTGAGATGCTGCAGAGAGCCATGTCTGGGTCCGTGGTCCTGCTGCAGCTGGGTCTTTGTCGATGTCTGTGGCCTGTGTCACCTCAGGGGGCCTTAGGAATCATTCATGATGAAATCAGAGGGCCATAATGAGCTATCCCTGCCCTTCACTGGCCTGGGAAAGCTGGCCCTGCTCTTCACTGGACAGTGCAGAAAGAGAGTTGGCCCTGACCATCATGGGAGAGCTGCCTCCCCACCCCGCCCGCTATCCCCACCCTCAGCCCCCACCCTTCACCACTAGGGTGGGAGAACTGTCCCTAATGGCATGGGCGTAGAAGAGCTGGCTCCACACTTCACCTGAGAAAGCTGGCCCCAGTGGCCTAGACTGATCAGCTCAGCCACCAAGGTCCACATCCAGGGCCTTGGGGTGGCCCACCCTAACATCTACCCCATCTATGTCCTGCTGGAGTGTGTGAAGGGACCGATCCTGTGGAACAATAGTCACAGGATCTCCATGTCTGGGGCAACAGCAAGATATCCAAAAGGAGTTCTGGTGAGGGCCCAGAGATGGTGTACTAGAGGCCAGAGGCCTTGAACATTTGCAAGTAAGGCTGACTGGACAAAAGGTTATACTGTGTGACACACCACGGCTCCCACTGCCACGAAAACAAATGAAGAAGAGGTGTTGGAGAGGTAGGAAGGATGAAGAAGTGAAGAGGTTTGTTTGTTTTGTCTTTAATTTTTTTTAATTATCTTTTAAGGGGATGGTGTAAGGGTAGGGGTGAATATGGGGAGACTGGGAGATGAGCATATTTGGGGTACATAATGTGAAATTCCCAAAGAATCAATAAAGAAATTATATTTAAAAAACGAATATTATATACTGACAGGCAGTGGTGGCACACGCCTTTAATCCCAGCACTTGGGAGGCAGAGGCAGGCGGATCTCGGCGTTCAAGGCCAGTCTGGTCTACAGAGCCAGTTCCAAGACAGCCAGAGCTGTTACACAGAGAAACCCTGTCTCAAAAAAAAAAAAAAAAGAACAAGAGAAAAAATAGACTATCATAATGTATCATGACTACCTTGGTTTTGTTGGAGGAATGCAAGGCTGGTTCAATATACACAAATGCGTAAGTGTACTACAGCACAGAGATCGAAGGAGAAAAATCATATGTCATCTCAATTGATACAGAAAACGTCTTTGAGAGAGTTCAACATCCCTTCACGATAAGAGTCCTAAAATAACTACAAATAGAGTGAGCATACCTCAACACAACAAAGGTAACATACAACAAGCCTATAGTCAACATGATGGTAACAATGGAGAAAAGTTGAAAGCATTTCCTCTAAAAATCTGCAATGAGACAAAGATACCCACTCTCTCTACTCTTGTTCATCACAGTACTCAATCTCTTGTCTGCAGTAAGAAGCAGAGAAAGATTTAAAGGCCTAAAACGGGAAGAGGTCAGATTATTCGCATTTACAGACAACGTGATGTTAAGACTCTAAAGACTAGACCAGAAAAATGCTTACAATTGATTAACCTTTAGCAAGGTAGCAGGATACAAACTTACAATAGGCAGCTTTGCAATTTATCAATAACAAACTTGCCTGGAGAGAAATCTCATTTACAATAGTTTAAAAAAAATAAAACACTCAGCCGGGCGGTGGTGGCGCACGCCTTTAATCCCAGCACTCGGGAGGCAGAGCCAGGCGGATCTCTGTGAGTTCGAGGCCAGCCTGGGCTACCAAGTGAGTTCCAGGAAAAGGCGCAAAGCTACACAAAGAAACCCTGTCTCGAAAAACCAAAAAAAAAAAAAAAATTAAAAAATTAAAAAAAATAAAAATAAAAATAAAACACTCAACCAGGGAGGTAAAGGACCTCTACAACCATTAGATCCAAAGAAAAAGATCTACCCATCTGTACTTTAAATAGAATGGCAATTCAAAACAAACAAACCAAAAAAAAAAAAAAAACTAAAAAGTCAAAGCCATTCACATAAGCATCTTCTCTGGACTTAGCAGCCCCCCCCCCCCACTTTTTTTAAAGATTTTCTTGGGAGGGCCCAGTATGGTGATGCACACCTTTAATTCGCAGCACGGAGGCAGGAGGCAGAGGCAAACAGATATCTGCATTTGAGGCTAGCCTGGTCTACAGAACGAGTTCCAGAACAGCCAGGGCTACACAGAGAAACCCTGCATCAAAAACACCTAAGTAAATAAATGGATGGATGGATGAATGATAGATAGATAGATAGATAGATAGATAGATAGATAGATAGATAGATAGATAGACAGACAGACAAAATATAGATGAGCTATTTGGTCAGGCCCCCCAGCTCAGACGCCCTCTGCTCAGGACTCTAACACTCCACAGGAAAACCTAGAGGAAGGATGATGGCAGACAGCCTTGTTACTAAAATGTCTTCTAGGTGTACCAAGAAGCCTGGAGTTGGAGAAGCCTGAGCTGGAGAATCACTCAGTAGGTAAGAGCGTTTGCTGCTCTTGCAGAGGACTGCACAGAAGTTCAGTTCCCAGCACCCATGTCAGAAGGCTCATAGCCACCTGTAACTCCAGCACCATGGTACTCAACACCCTCTTCTGACCCCCACAGGTGAGCACAGGTAAACACACATACATACACACAGGCACATATAATGGTACATAAATAAAAACAGAATGCATCTTATAAAATGAGTTTGTTTATTATTTATTTTACATCTTGACTGCAGTTTCCTCTCCCTCCTCTCCTCCCAGTCCCCCCCCCTCTTCTGCTCCCACCCCCCAATCCACTCTTCTTTCTATTCCTGTTTAGGAAAGGGCAGGTCTCCCATGAGTATCAACAAAACATCGAATATCAAGTTATAGTAAAACTACGCACCTCCCCTTGTATTAAGTCAGGGCAATGAGACCCAGTATGAGGAGTAGGGTCCCAAAAGCCAGTAAAAGAGTTGGAGACAGCCCCTGTTCCCACTGTTAGGAGTCCCACAAGAGGACCAAGCTACACAACTGTAACATATAGGCAGAGGGCCTAGGTCAGTCCCATGCAGGCTCCCTGGTTGTCAGTTCAGTCTCTGTGAGCCCCCGAGAACCCAGGTTAATTGATTGTGTGAGTTTTCTACGCATCGTTTAAAAAAAGAAACCTGTTACATACGCCAAGATAAGAAGGGAGAAAAATGAACAGGACAATCGAGGCTTTAAGGAAATTCACCAACCTGAATTCCTCATCCAATAAAGACAAGCTCCTCTAACCCAACATTTACTAGCCAGTCAGTCCTGACCAGGACTCTAGTTATGACCTGGTTCTGCCAGGAGACCAGAACTCCTAAGACCTACAAGGACAGTTATTGAGGCTACACATGATTCTCTCAGAGTTAAGCTTGGCTATTTAGATTTTGGGGTTGTTTTTTTATTTTTTTTTAATGAAGACAACAACATGTTTCAGGAAAGATGAATCATAAACATTTCCCCTTCATCTGAATAATTCTCCAGGTCCATTCATCTATCCGAAATTAATAAACCAGGAATATAACAACTTTGAAAAGGTATAAAGACACGTTATAATCACAGGGCCAGGACTGTCAAGAGGGAAGCTACTGAAACGGGCATGTGCCATAGCACCTAGAACTGACCGCAGCTGACAGGCATGTGCCATAGCACCTAGAACTGACCGCAGCTGACAGGCATGTGCCAAAGCACCTAGAACTGACCGCAGTTGACAGGCATGTGCCAAAGCACCTAGAACTGACCGCAGCTGACAGGCATGTGCCAAAGCACCTAGAACTGACCGCAGCTGACAGGCATGTGCCAAAGCACCTAGAACTGACCGCAGCTGACAGGCATGTGCCAAAGCACCTAGAACTGACTGCAGCAGACATTCCACAAATGGGCAAAGCATGAGAATCTGGTCACATGACCGAGGAACAGGGGAGGCCAAGGGGAAGGAGCAAGGAAAGGACTTGATTCCATCCTGGGCAAGTAGAATGCGCGCGTACGCACGCGCACACATGTGCACGCGCGCACACACACACACACACACACACACACACACACACACACACACACAATGTGAACACGGTTCAGAACAATAATCAGCCTCTTTATCTCCCAAGAACAACACTTCCCTCCAAAAACAGCACATGCATGGGGGTTTTCTGGGAAACCTAATTGTTGCTAAATTTGGTAATTTTCTGCCAGTGAGCTTGCTCAGAGTACATCCAACCACGCCTGACGGCCTGAGCTGGATCCGCAGAACCCATACTGTGAGAGGAGCGAACAGCCCCCCACAAGTTGTGCTCTGACCTCCTCACCTGTGCCACCCCACCCCCATCCCCTGCCACCAAATAAATACATGTAACTTTTTAAAGTAATTTTTAAAATGAATAACTTTATAAGAAGCAAGTGGTGGTAACGGTGGAACCAGCTGGGGTCAGACGGTGATAGTCTTTAAAGGCTGAAGAAACTACTAGAGAAAGCAGCTACCTGAGAGGACGGACAGACACCTTCATCCCAATGGCTGCATGCCTCCTGCTTGCCAAGGTCCTAGGAGGAAGTTGCTATTGTCTAACCTAACGGTGTTTTCATGGCCAATTCCCTGTCTTGTCTTCTGAGGTAATGTCTGTAAGTCTTGGCATCGAGGGTGCTTCCTGAACACGCGTCAGCTGTTAGCAATAGTGTTTTTCCTGACAGCTAAACGTTAACATAAAGGGAAAGCATTAAGCTTCAGGCATGGACGCTGTTCTCTGTGGTAGGGCCACACGGCTCTTCCTGGGGAACCAAGGAGAAGGCTTCCAGAGGTATGAAAATGAAACCCATGCTTTGGGCTTATTTACACAAACGTTTAATGAGCTGTGCTTCCTGATCCACACGAGTCCACAGAATGCTCATGCTGAGGGGCTCTGCAGAGACGGACAGACATCCAAGGCGCCCCATCCCACCCTGCACCTCAGAGACCATGCACCCCTCACCCTCACCTTTCATTTTGATTGAATAAAATCCAACTGCCGCTCCATCCCTCCACAGAATCTTAGCTTGCTCCTCCGCAGGGTGAGGTAAGAAAAACATGTCGTCGTCATCCAGATCTCTCTCCAGTCTTCCAAAAACAATGGTGTTGAGAACATAAAGGACAATCCTTTCCCCGAAGGACCGAACCTTAAAAGAGAGAAGAAAGAACCACCACCACTGAGACCAGACAAGAATGGCAGCGTGTGGCGGGGCCAGGTGTGGCAGGATACTCTTGATGGGGACGCGAATTGTGGGGTCTCAATACCACTGATTTATCACAGTGTAGTATGGAGTTTCAGTGCCAGGGAACACTCGGGTCCACGGAGTGTGACCAGCTGAGGGTAACAGAACAGAAAGCTGCCTCTAAGGTGGCCAGGTCAGCCATTCCAAGAGATGACTGGCTGTGTCCTGAAATAAACCTAATCTGCCATTTTTATAGCAGTGACATCCTCACCCCAGGGGGGAGATCATCGCCACGGTGAAAGCCACTGATTTTCACAACTTATGACAGATTTCAAGCACATGCTGCCGTCCCAACCCCAAGGCATTACTAGGACCTGAGGCCCACCTTGAACTAAGCTATACAATAGAACCCTCCTGTCCAGAGCAGACTCATCCCTGTGGTCAAATTTGGCCCACCGAGTTGCAGGCTTTCTCTTACACAAGCCAAAAATGATATCGTGTTCCTGTCTGTGATTGTGAGTACAAAAGGGCAAATGTGTGGCTGAAATCAAGGTCTCTCTTCTGGACTCATAGCTACCTGGTACACAGCCAGGCTATGATCTATTGATCCTGCCAACATCCGTCTAGGCGGCACAGGTAACTGATAAAAATCGCTGTAGAGGGTGAAAGCAGCCAGCCATTCACACAATGACTGGCTCACAGCCCTGGGTTTTATCCTACAACTTCGCTGCATGACAGCCGATGTGGTGCACGTGTGGGCACGTGTGTGCGTGTGGATCCACATTACCACCAGATCCACCACGCCCCCGGAGCTGTGACTTCCGCCCACGTGTTGTCACCTGATTCTCATCTGCTGGGGAAGGCCCGGCTGACGGGTGCAGAAATTGAAGCTCAAAGAGGTTAAGTGAGTGCATGCCATCCATTTTACTGTCTCATTCCAATGACACCCTGAGAGACAGCTGTGCTGGGGCTAGCTCAGGAACAGGCTGGAAGGACAGGCCAGGGCTCTTCATTCCAAACAGCACACACCCGCTCAAGCCCAGACACCCTGATTCCCTTCTGCTTCCTCATCCACCAGGCTTTGGGAATGGGAGCATTCATTAAAAACATCGCTGCATGGTCTTAACAGTCAATTTTACTCATTTACATTGTATGTTACTGTTCATACGGATGGTGCCTGTATATGATGGTGTGTGTGTGTGTGTGTGTGTGTGTGTGTGTGTGTGTGTGTGTGTGTGTGTATGTTGGGGGTCAACATCAAGTATCATCATTCTTCAGGCACCCTGTTTGAGGCAGGGTCTCTCACTGAATCTGGAATGCACCAAACAGGCTAGGCTGGCTGGCCAGTGAGCCTCAGGGATCCCTCTGTCTCCGAGTCCCAGGCTCTGGTCTCCAAAGCATGTGCCACCATGTCCAACTTTTTATGTGGGTTCTGGGGATTGAACTCAGGTCCTCATGCCTGCCTGGCATGCACTTTACCACATAAGCCATCTACCCAGCCTCCTAGTTTGAGGCTTAACACCAGATCCCAAAATGACTGTCCTGCCCAACATCTTCACTATCATTGTGCTTGGAGGACCTCAGCCATTCATTCTTCTTTAAGATTCAGTTCAGGGGATAAGATCCCACAAGTGAGCTCTAGAACACTTGTCTGTTGCTATTGTTGTGTGTGTATGTGCTCTCTCTCTCTCTCTCTCTCTCTCTCTCTCTCTCTCTCTCTCACACACACACACACACACACACACACACACACACACATACACATGCATGTGGACACACGCACACATGCATGCCAGCACACAATATACATGTGTAGACACATGGTCCCCATGTGGAGGTCACAGGACAACTCCGTAGACTCAGTCCTCTCCTTCCATCATACAAGGGTCTAAGGACTCAAACTCAGATCAGCAGGCTCACAGCAAGCACTTTTACCCACTGAACCGTCTTCACTGGCCCACAGCCTTTAAAATGCTGACTAATAATAAGGCAGCTCGCCCTAGCATCCACACAAAGTGTCCAGTGTCCACAGACTTCTCCGTGAGTGCAGGATGTAAAGCACGTCTCCTTCATCGGGGGCCAGTTCTTAGAAGAGGAAAAGATGTGCGGATCTGACCACTTCCCTTTCCATCTGACAGTGGCAGCCAGATTTGAGGTTGAGCTTTAAGAACGAGTTGGTCTCCAGAGCTAATGGGGACCATCTGGGAGGCGGCATTTCTCAACCTATGAAGCCAGAGGAGAAGCAGGCTGCACGTGGCAGAAAGGAAACACCCAATCAAACCCTGGCAGGAGAAGAAGGAGGAAAAGGGAGTGGGCTTAATTTGTCCAATTCCATTACAGGAAGAAAAAAATGTGGGACATGCCATCTTGACTTAGAAGCATTTCCAAAAACATAACACTAAGATCCATTTCTAAGCCATCATTGGGACCACTAATTGCATTAACAGAGACAGCATTCAAGGAGATTTTTCTAGTAATGTGTGAAAAAATAAGTGGCTAAGAAACAAAACCTGATTAAAAAAAAAAAAGTTTAGACAAAGTCTTAAAAACAACAGAAGGAAATACCCATGTATGGGAGAAGGACATGGAGGAGGACATGGGGTGGGAAGACATGGGGGAGGACATGGGGGGAAGACTGGGGGAGGACATGGGGGAGGATATGGAGGAGGATATGGGGGAGGACATGGGGGAGGATATGGGGGGAGGACATGGGGGAGGATATGGGGGGAGGACATGAGGGAGGACATGGGGGAGGACATGGGGGGAAGACATGGGGGAGGACATGGGGGAGGACATGGGGGAAGACATGGGGGGAAGACATGGGGGAGGACATGGGGAAGGATATGGGGGGAGGACATGGGGGAGGACATGGGGGAGGACATGGAGGAGGATATGGGGGAGGACATGGGGGAGGACATGGGGGAGGACATGGGGGAGGACATGGGGGAGGACATGGAGGGAGGACATGGAGGAGGATATGGGGGAGGATATGGGGGAAGGACATGGGGGAGGACATGGGGGAGGACATGGGGGAGGACATGGGGGAGGACATGGGGGAGGACGTGGGGGAGGACATGGGGGAGGACATGGGGGAGGACATGGGGGGAGGACATGGGGGAGGACATGGAGGAGGACATGGGGAGAGGACATGGGGGAGGATATGGGGAAGGACATGGGGGAGGATATGGAGGAGGACATGGGGGAGGACATGGGGGAGGATATGGGGGAGGACATGGGGGAGGATATGGAGGAGGACATGGGGGGAGGACATGGGGGAGGACATGGGGGAGGATATGGGGGAGGACATGGGGAGGACACGGGGGAGGACATGGGGGAGGACATGGGGAGAGGACATGGGGGAGGACATGGGGGAGGACATGGGGAGAGGACATGGGGGAGGATATGGGGGAGGATATGGGGGTGGGAAGATATGGGGGAGGATATGGGGGAGGATATGGGGAGGACATGGGGGAGGATATGGGGGAGGACATGGGGGAGGATATGGGGGAGGACATGGGGGTGGGAAGATATGGGGGAGGATATGGGGAAGGACATGGGGGAGGACATGGGGGAGGACTGGGGGAGGACATGGGGGAGGACATGGAGGAGGACATGGAGGAGGACATGAGGAAGAACATGGGGGAAGGACATGGGGGAGGATATGGAGGAGGATATGGGGGAGGACATGGGGGAGGATATGGGGGAGGATATGGGGGAGGACATGGGGGAGGATATGGAGGAGGATATGGAGGAGGACACGGGGGAGGACATGGGGGAAGACATGGGGGAGGATATGGAGGAGGATATGGGGGAGGACATGGGGGAGGACATGGGGGGGGTTATGGGGGAGGACATAGGGGAGGACATGGAGGGAGGACATGGGGGAGGACATGAGGAGGACATGGGGGAGGATATGGGGGAGGACATGGGGGGAGGACATGGGGGAGGACATGGGGGAGGACATGGGGGGAGGACATGGGGGAGGACATGGGGGAGGACATGGGGGAGGACATGGGGGAGGACATGGGGAGGACATGAGGAGGACATGAGGAAGAACATGGGGAGGACATGGAGGAGGACATGGAGGAGGATATGGAGGAGGATATGGGGTGGGACATGGGGAGAGGACATGGGGGAGGATATGGGGAAGGACATGGGGGAGGATATGGAGGAGGACATGGGGGAGGACTTGAGGGAGGACATGGGGGAGGACATGGGGGAGGATATGGAGGAGGACATGGGGGAGGACTTGGGGGAGGACATGGGGGAGGACATGGAGGGAGGACATGGAGGGAGGACATGGGGGGAGGACTTGGGGGAGTACATGGGGAGAGGACATGGAGGGAGGACATGGAGGGAGGATATGGGGGGAGGACATGGGGGAGGATATGGGGGGAGGACATGGGGGAGGACATGGGGAGAGGACATGGGGGAGGACATGGGGGAGGACATGGGGGAGGACATGGGGAAGGACATGGAGGAGGACATGGAGGAGGATATGGAGGAGGACATGGGGGAGGACATGGAGGAGGACATGGGGGAGGACATGGGGGGGGATATGGGGGAGGATATGGAGGAGGACATGGGAGAGGACATGGGGGAGGACATGGAGGAGGACATGGAGGAGGACATGGAGGAGGATATGGAGGAGGACATGGAGGAGGACATGGGGGAGGACATGGGGGAGGATATGGAGGAGGATATGGAGGAGGACATGGGAGAGGACATGGGGGAGGACATGGAGGGAGGACATGGAGGGAGGATATGGAGGAGGATATGGAGGAGGACATGGAGGAGGACATGGGGGAGGACATGGGGGAGGATATGGAGGAGGATATGGAGGAGGACATGGGGGAGGACATGGGGGAGGACATGGGGAAGGATATGGGGGAGGATATGGGGGAGGACATGGGGGAGGACATGGGGGAGGACTTGGGGGAGGATATGAGGGGAGGATATGGGGGAGGACATGGAGGAGGACATGGGGGAGGACTTGGGGGAGGACATGGAGGAGGACATGGGGGAGGACTTGGGGGAGGACTTGGGGGAGGACATGGGGGAAGGGCATAGATAGGGGTAGAATGCCCGGAAGTGGTTTGTTAGGTCCTTCTATTCAGAGCATGCACATAGACAGGACCCTCTCAGAAAACTGGGGGTGGGCTCCCAATCTAGACTTGGAAAAGATAGGAAATGAGAAACTCTCCTCCTGGAAGTCTAAAGAACAAATCAGTCTTCTTAGCACAAATAGCCTGTGAGAAAAGGCTAGGACACAGCACACACAGCTGCATCATGGTCCTTCGCTGAATTTCAAGGCAGCGTTAATTTTCTGGAAGAAACCCTTGGCAGAACATCTTTAATAGCATCTACTGAGTCCACTGAATCCAGATCATTTTTTTTTAAACAGGCAGCTTACAGAATGGGAAAAGAGTCATCCCAGTTTTTTTTTTTTTAATAGCAAATGTATGATAGTTCTTCTATCACAAACATGTGATAAAAGGCTTGCAGGGAAAATATGTGGGAAACTCTTACAATTTAACAATAAAAATTCAAATATTCCAATCAAAAAGTGATTTTTGACTAAGGAAGGATCGCAACAGGCATTCTCCAAGAGAGAGAACATACAAACGGCCATTAAGCACAAGAAAAGATGCTCGGTCTCCTGGCCGTCAGGGAACGCACATCAACACATCTCTAGGGTACCACCTCACACCTGCAGGATGGTGCACAAGCCACTTGTCAGTTGCTGTAATAACACACCATTACCGGAAGTAACTGAAGGAAGAGAAGGGTGACTTTGGCTAAGGTTCCAGAGGGACAGGGTCCATCATGGTGGGAAAGACATACACAGAAAGGAGAGAGAGAGAGGGAACAGGATGTGAGGCACGACTCTAAAACCTCAAAGCCCGCCCTAACTCCCCAGACAGCACAACGGACTGGGGACTGAGTGTCCCGATACCCAAGCCTATGGGGACAGGTTCCAGTCAAAGGACTGCAGATGGGAAGTGTAAGTGGCCGACAACAGCGTGTGCTGCTGAGGACGTGGAAAGACTGAAACCCGCTGGCGCTGCGGGGGGTAAGTCAGGTGACACAATAACTGTGGAGGACAGTCTGGCAGTTCCTCAAAATATGGACTAGAGAGACACCGTGTGACCAGTAATTACGCTCCTAGGTATATACTCAAGAAAATTCCAAGTCTATGTCCTCATAAAAAGCCACACACGAAGACTCATGACAACTAAGACGTGAACACTACTCAATACCCATCCACTGATGAATGGATAATAAAATATAGTCTACCCATATGCGGGACTGTCGTTCAGCTAAAAGCAGAGTTAGGATAATGAAAATGCTGTGGAGTGATTGATTTAAGTCTATTAAACATCATGGGATTGTACATTTTTAGAGTAAATTTATGGCATACAAATTACACGTCGATGAAGCTTGCTTAAAGTAGGACTTAATTTTCAATTCTCAATTGTGTGTTTGTATGGTGCATGTACTTGAGTGTGGGAATGTGGGAACCCGTACAGAAGTCACAGCAGGACCTTGAGGTCTTCCTGTGTCCGCCTTACTGCCTTGGAACAGTCTCTCACTGAAGCGGAAGTTTGCCATCTTGTCTCAGAGGGCCGTCCAAGGAGCTCTCGGGGTTCACCTGTCTCGTCCCCTCACAGATGGAGTACACACAACTGTCTATGCCTGGCTTTTTACATGGGTGCTGAGGATTCTAACTCAGGTCCTTCCACTTGCAGAGCAGGGCTTCTTACTCACTGAGCCATGTGCTCAGCCCTCGGACTCCATGTTTGAATTGTTCGATAGAAGAAACTACACTATAAACTCCTTCTCCAAACTGAATGCAAACAAATGCTGACATTCCACTCAGCACTTACTGAACCCCACAGGAAGAAGTGAGTGGTTTGCTAGACGACTGTGGAAAGACAAACCATTCCAAGATGATGCAGAGCATTATCGTTATCTCACCTACATAGTGAAAATAAATCTGCCAGCCAGATGAGCAGGCAGTGAGGAGGCACACGGTCAGCTCTCTCTCCGTCAATTCCTGCCTCCCTCCTTAGCCCCACTTCAGCTATTCTCTCACACTCTGAGAAGCTGCTCGCCGCTGCCTGCCTTCACCCTCACCATCCCAGGCCCCTGCGTTACCTACCATTGCTCTACCACACCACAGCACTTGAAAGGCGCCAGGCCTGACGTTAGGGGCACTGAGGTTCACACCCAACTAAATCACTCACTGGTTAGGTTACTCAAGCCTGCGCCTCCAGGGACACAAACAAGACCTCGAAGATTCTGAAGTTAGACCAACCCCACGAAGAAGCTGGGATAATAAATATTCAGGACAGACCAACTCATTTCCAAATCTTCTATCCATAACCATGACCTAAATATACTCAACAGAAAAACTGCTCAACACAGCAGAGAAATGGGACAGATTGAAGTTTACAAACTGAGGCACGAGAGGCACTCAAGATGGTAAAGCAGACTGAACGGTAGTCAGGTGTCTGGTGACCGGTCACGTGTTCCTGTTTTCCTTGGTGGCAGGACGCTAATAGTATTGAAGGGTGTGCCCCTAAAAGATGTTGAAATCCCCACCAGTACCTGCTAAGGGAACTTATTTGAAATGGGTTTTTATTGGTGATCGAGCTATGATAGTACATTACTCTTCCAAAGTCCAATACAAATGATGTCCTTATCAAAAGGGGTCTCAACACAGGCTGACAATGTTTCCAAAGATGGAGATGTGGAGACACGTGAACACCGCCATCTTCTGGTCAAAGAATTGCTAAGAGCAACCAGAAGTGGGGATACAGCATACAACAGATTCCCTCAGCCCTCAAAAGAAATACTCCGTGACTTCAGACCTCCAGCCTTCAGATTCAAGAGACAGGGAAAAGTTTGTTGTGTAAGCATGCCAGACTTGGTACCCCCACAGGGCAGCCCATGGAATGAATACAGGGAGCTAGACAACATAGCCACAGAGGAAACCGTTCTTCGGGCAGTTAAGAAGTGGCTCCCCATAAAGATGCCTGCTATTCAGGCTTAATTTATTAACACACGCCCCAGTAAAAGGACCCCGAAAACCTGTTTTGCAAATGTTCATTTAAAATCATATCCCCTCACCTTCATGAGCCCTTCCCTGGTGGGATCAGAAGTTCTTAGGACGTCTTCGATGGACCACCAGGACCCCTTTAGGTAGACAGCCACAACTGAAGGGAAAAGCAAGAGAAAGGCATGAGTCCCACAGCACTCATTGGAGGGGGGCAGCACTTTCAATAGCCTGGGCCAACAAGCTGAGGGCATTGTGGGTGAATCAGGTGACATTTTTATCATTTGCGTTGTTTTATGATGTTGGGGAATGGAACCCAGGGCCATGCACATGCTATACAAGTGCCTTACCACGGAGCTAGCGCCCCAGCCTGAGGTCAGGTTCGTGGCATTCTGTAAGAACACAAATCAGAAGAGTCACCTGAAAGGGACAAGACCAGTATTTTCACAGGTGGCCTGTCTGTGGCTCAGAAAAAGAAATACCCCAAAATACAAACCAATATTGAAGCATTCAAAAAAACATTTTTTTTTTTAGGTTTGAGGATATAGCTCAGTTGGTAGGTTGCTTGCCTAATGTGCATGAAGCCCTGGGTTCAATCCCCACCACCACAAAAACTGAGTGTGTAGACTTCAGTAGTGTACTTACCTGCAATCTGGCATTCAGGGGCAAGGATGAGGGGTAGAGGCAGGGGAGAAGGTCATCCTCAGCTATATAGCAAGTGTAAGGCCAGCCTGGGCTTCATGAGACTCTCTGCCTTTAAAAAAATTTATTTTTCCTTGTCAGGAACATATATCAAAGTCTAATCTGCTGCAGGCCGCAGGAATATATCACAAGAACTCAGCTGGCTATGGCAAAGTCACTACCTGGAGGGATCAGGGAATTTCTCCAGAGAAAGCCAAATTCCAAGGAGCTTTTGGTGTTACTTGGCTTATTATGTATCAGCTGTCTTCTGTTACGAAAATCATGTGTGCCTTCATAGTTTTCCCAATTGACTTTTCCCTAAGAAGGGCTAACAGTGTGGACTGATCACTCTCTGGACATACACATTCCAGGTATTTGGAGAACAGCCTCAGAAAAGGCTTTCTCTGGAATCAGATATCTCCCTTAGCTTTCAAGGACTAGCAGTAATAACAGTCCACATGCAAGTTTCCTGATTTAAGGCAAATTCCACAAGGAGACACGGCCTAGGTCAGGTGGACGTTAAGTAATAGCTTTACACAATTTAGCTCGGACCCTCCTTTCTTACAGCCTTACTAACTTTATAGACCTTTAACTCCTTACCTAACCACTTCTAGTAATATTTAGATAACTTTCTGTTCTGACAGCTATGCTCAGCCAGAACCCCAGTTCAAGCCTCCCTATAATTATCATCATTGGCAGCATCCGGCCAGGTCCATCCCCGATGGAGGAAAGTACTTTATCAGAGATACTTCTGTACTCTCTAAGAACAGACTTAAGCATCCAGGCTACCTGTTTGAGAAGGCCTGGCGGATGTGCCAATTAAGCTTTACTTCCTCCTTTCCCAAACCTTACCTCTAGTTCCAGATCTCCCTTTAACTATGACCAGAGGCATCGACCTGTACACAGGTTGCCTAGCGACCGAGCACACTTTCCCCCACCCTGCAGAAAAACGGCAGATAGCTTGGACAGATAGGAGCCACAGGAAAAAAGACAGTTTTATTTTCTCCCATTGACCTAGCAACTTATAGATTCTTAACATTTTCTACCAATCACGTTTATGATTATAGTTGAGCACATAAGAGCCCTCTTCTTAGATATTACCCAAATTTAGCCTTTAGTTAATTCATTTCCCCATTGGTCACTTCCCTTTGGGGTTGCAAATGATAATTAACCGTTATTGCCTCCCTATGTGATTCTTATCACCGTTTGACCCTGGAAGCCTGGCTTTGCACTGCTAAGGGAATACTGCTTGTAAGTGTATATATACCAGGACTTCCAGGGCACGAGAGGACAGAGAAAAGAGAATGGAAGAACTAGATGGGTAAGAACTTGAGAGGAACAAACTGAGACAGGAAAGAACTAGGTAGAAGGGGTAGAAGAGAGGACTAGAGGAATGAGATGGAAGATGAGGAAGAGCCAGATGGGAAGAACAAGATGAAGAAGAAGGAGATGGGAGAGAAGGAGATGGGAGAGGGGCTGATATGGGAAAGAACAAGATGGATGAGAACCTAGAAGGACAGAACTAGATAAAGGAATTAAGATAGAACCTAGAGGGGACAGTAGATAAATATAGAGAGAAATCAGGCAAGAAAGGAGCTAAAAATGAGAGCAGAGTATAAACTTGTAGAGAGAAAACTGACAGAATAATAAAATGTATAGACTAAGGAATTTCGTGTACATAGATTCACTTCTTTTCTTCAAAGATTAATTATCAGCTGATTGTAGATTCTTCCCGGACCTTGGGAGGGGACTATCAAGGGGCTGGACCCCTATAGCCCCCGATACTAATCATTTGGGGTTGGTGAAACAACTCATCCATTAAGAGCACCCACTGGCCAGGTGTGCTCAGCATCTGGGAGGCAGAGGCAGGCAGGTTCCTGTGAGTTCGAGGCCAGCCTGGTCTACAGAGCTAGTTCCAGGACAGCCAGGGCTGTTACACAGAGAACCCCTGTCTCTAAAAACAAAACAAGCAATGAAAAGAGCACTCACTGCTCTGGCGGAGCACCCAGGTTCAGAATTTACAGCGCCAGCAGTGTGGCTCCGCGCATCCACAAGCCCAGTTCAGAGACGCTGAGGCCTTTATTCTGACCTCTGCAGGATCCAGACACACGTGGAACCCAGACACACATGCAGGGAAAACTCATACACGTAATATTTTTAAATAATAAATCTTTTAAAAAACATATCCATAACTTTTTTGCATAACTCTTAACTCCCCACACACCATAAGATCGAATGTTATCTATGGGCCCTGAGTGAAGAGAGTTACTTCCTGTGTGTTGAGCAATGCCCTGGCACTGGACTCCGCCCAGCCTGCTTTCCCAGGAATTTCCTCCAGCCCCATCAGGAAACTATTATCAGCATCATTCTGAGGACACTGCAGCTCTGAAAGGGAGGGCGGGTCGAAGACAACTGGCTAGAAAGAGCAGAGAGAGGGTCCAGCCCTGGACTCTGGACCACAAGCCCAGGAAAAGGCCAGAGATGGATGCAGCGCGCTCTTCAGAACCGGGCGGATCACGTGGGGAGGGGCTGTCTTTGGAGAAGAAGGCCCTGGAGCAAAGACTCAGGAAGGAGTGGGGGTGGAGGAGGGGTGGGGTGGGGATGTGGTGGGGGATTGCCTTTCCTTCCTCTGATCTCACTCTTACCTTGCCACACCTTAAAGGTGCCACCGCCCTGCTGACTTGCCCAACATCCTTTGAACCAAGTCTGGATGTGATATCTATTCACACACTGCCCCAGATTCCTCACCAGAGTGGTCCAAAGACATGGCCCCAGGTGTCTAGGAATCTGCCAGGGAGACTGGGTTTGAAACACCCAGGATAAAGTCGGCAAGCAGGATGTGCTCCTCCTTGCCTGCCAATCAATGAGTTGATTACTCCCTGTCTTCCTGTTCCCATCTCCACTCAGCCTCCTGCCTCAGATGACTAAGGTAGCCCCCTCTCCTGGGCCCATCCCTGTCTCCTTACCAGTCCATCCGACTTAGTGGTCACTTTCCAACAGGCGAATCCCACCCTGGCTTCTGCCTCTTTGCTGGCATCTCACATACAAAAGTTCCTTTGCTTGATTTCTGCAATCGTTTATGCCTTTTTAATAGACATTTCTTTCACTGCTTCTTAAGCCAGGTACCTGATCCCAAGGGTTTGGAAAGTCACAGAATTTTTTTTATTTATTTTATTTTTTTTATTTTTTTATTTTTTATTTATTTTTTTGGTTTTTCAAGACAGGGTTTCTCTGTGTAGTTTTGTGCCTTCCCTAGAACTCACTCTGTAGCCCAGGCTGGCCTCCAACTCACAGAGATCCACCTGCCTCTGCCTCCCATGTGCTGTAATTTTTAAATGCATCTTCCCGTCAACCCTTTCTAAATGAAGACTTGGGGGGCGGGGGACACAATGGAATCAAAAACTAAGTCACTTGAACATATACCATAAGGTTTGCAACCGTAAAACAAACACTGTGGACCACTCGGGGTCAGCCACCACTCCCTTCTGCCCTCTTCTGCTGTTTGAGACAAGTTAGTAGAGATCCGGGAAGACCAGGAATCAAGGCGCAGCCAGACATTCAAGGTGGTCTCAGAACCTGCCCCCTCCAAAAACCAGCAACCTCTATCCCGGCCAGTCAGCTTCCGATCTGTGGTGAATCCTCATCACTGACAATGGTTCTAAAATTCACACAGCAGGCTGGGAGAGAAGAGCCAATTACATGCCCGACATTCACCTTCACTTACTCGATGCAAGTCATTTCCAAAATGGCAGCTACGAGAACTGGGAGCAGAGTTCTCCAGCCACAAGGATTATTTCCCAGCTCAACAAGGCGAACCATTTGGTTTATTAGCAGACTGCATTCCTGTAATACAGATGTTCGATTCACTAATACCATCCTCAACAGAAACATGTTGACACTTCTTGAGTTTCACGGAGCACAGCCGAGCGTTCATTAGTCGTGGTGTTAACAAAATAGATTCACCTGGCCTCATGATGTTTTTCAAAACCCATCTTCCATGACTAAGTGTACATAGCAATAAAAACAGAGTCCAGTCAAATTTAACAGTCTAAAATAAACCTGTCCCCAAAACCAGAACCAGCCTGGAGGACAGAGCAGCTTCTGATCAGTGAGAAACAAGGGCCTGGAAATACAGACAGAAAAGATGGCAGCAGAGCCATGCCAAAGCTGTCACAGCACAGCAAGGACATGTCATGGGACGGGTCCAGGTGGACTGACATGTGCCAGAGACCCTGGATCTAACAGCACTAAGGGTGACAAAATGGAAACCAAAACACCTGTGCTTCAAAAACCAAAAACTGCCACACAGATCTGTTGCAGAATATTATTCTGAGGTGTGTTACTTTTGTTTTTGTTGCATTTGTTTAACTCTGTGAAGCTGTGTTATTGTGCCTGGGTAAAACACCTGATGGTCTAATAAAGAGGTGAACAGCCAATAGCAAGGCAGGAGAAAGGATAGGTGGGGCTGGCAGGCAGAGA